GCGGAGCGCAGGGAGCATACCACTCCTCTGCTGCACCAGCTCCACTGGCTGCCGATTTGCTACCGGGCTCAATTCAAAGTGCTGGCGTTGGCCTTTAAAGCCCTAAACGGTTCTGGCCCAAGCTACCTATCCGAACGTATCTCTGCCTATCAGCCCGCCAGGACCCTAAGATCTTCTGGGGAGGCCCTGCTCTCTATCCCGCCTGCTTCACAGGTGCGGCTGGCAGGGACGAGAGACAGGGCCTTTTCTGTGGTGGCCCCTCGGCTGTGGAACGCCCTTCCCATGGAGGTAAGATCAGCCCCCTCGCTAATGGTGTTCTGAAGGAGATTAAAAACTTGGATGTTTGAACAGGCATTTGGTTAATCAGTGCAATGAATGTGACGATTACAGGAATGGAAATATGGACGACGAATTTGGATCACGACTCTAGTTATGAGATGCATTGTGTTGTTATTGTTGTGTCAATATTGTATATTGTGCTCTAATGGTTTTAAATTGTATATCGTTGATTGATCTTATCCTTGTTGTAAACCGCGTTGAGTCGCCTGTTAGGCTGAGAAACTGCGGTATACAAGTAAAGTAAGTAAGTAAATAAATAAATAAATGGTCATCCGTTTTGTTGTTTTTCTGACCAGATCATCCAGCTCTGCCTGTGTCCAGTTCACAATTCCAGCAGCAGCACACCCAAATACCTGGGAGTCACTCTGGACCATGCTCTTACCTACAAGAATCACTGCCTGAACATCAAGCAAAAAGTGGGTGCTAGAAACAATATCATACGAAAGCTGACTGGCACAACCTGGGGATCACAACCAGATACAGTGAAGACATCTGCCCTTGCGCTGTGCTACTCTGCTGCTGAGTATGCATGCCAGTGTGGAACACATCTCACCACGCTAAAACAGTGGATGTGGCTCTGAATGAGACATGCCGCATTATCACGGGGTGTCTGCACCCTACACCACTGGAGAAATTACACTGCTTAGCCGGTATTGCACCACCTGACATCCGCCGGGAAGTAGCAGCCAATAGTGAAAGGACCAAGGCAGAGACATCTCCAGCTCATCCCCTGTTTGGGTATCAGCCAGCAGGTCAACGACTTAAATCTAGAAATAGTTTTCTAAGATCTACAGAGACACTTGCTGGAACACCTCAGCAAGCGAGAGTCCAAAAGTGGCAGGCTCAAACCCAGAACCTCAACCAATGGCTGATACCAAATGAGAGACTCCCCCCTGGGCACACAGAAGGACTGGGCGACTTGGAAGGCGCTGAACAGACTGCGCTCTGGCACCACGAGATGCAGAGCCAACCTTCAGAAATGGGGCTACAAAGTTGAATCCTCGACATGCGAGTGTGGAGAAGAGCAAACCACTGACCACCTGCTGCAATGCAACCTGAGCCCTGCCACATGCACAATGGAGGACCTTCTTGCAGCAACACCAGAAGCACTCCAAGTGGCCAGATACTGGTCAAAGGACATTTAATCAACTACCAAACTCACAATTTTGTATTTTGTCTGTTTGTTTGCTTTGTTCTGTTAGAAATGTAATATAATGGACTGGTTGCTCTGACACGACAAATAAAATCTGATGACGGAGATGGTCCAGGTGTTGATAGCCTTGATAATATTTCCGCCATTTAATTGGCTCTTCAAAACCTTTCTGGCCCTTTGGACATATTCTTTGATTACCACATTTTTCACATGCCCATGCTTCATATTGCCCAACTGTAGTATGCCCAGATATTTATAGGCTTCAGGCTGATTGCATTATATGGTTTGTTCATTTGACATCTCTATACCCTCGCTGTGTGTAATGCTCCCTTTCTTTAATGCCCCTGTGGCACATTTGTCTAGGCCGAACTCCATACTGATGTCAATGCTGAAGATTCTGACAGTGTTGCTCAGTGACTGGATTTCAGTTTCCAATTTTCCATAAAGCTTTAGATCATCCATGTACAGCAAGTGGGAAAATTTTGGTGAATTTCTTGCCGTTTGGTAGCCCAGTTTTGTTTTCTGTAAAATTACTGACAGAGGGATCATTGCAATGATGAACAACAGTAGTGACAGTGAGTCGCCCTGGAAAATTCCTCTCTTGATGTTAACAGTTCCATAGATTTCGTTGCCCACAAACAGCTCAGTTTTCTATTGTTTTATTAGATTTTCAGTGAACTTTCTAATATTTTCACAAACCCCGATGACATCTAGACATCCAACAATGTGGCAGTGAGTCAATTTTTTTGTTTTTGTAATCAAGAAAATTGTATAGAAGTTTGTTTCACGGTATTATTATTATTGTTGTTGTTATTATTGCTATTATTATTATTATTATTGATTTATTATTGAGGCTGGATGGCCATCTGTTGTGGGTGCTGTGATGTGCTCTTCCTGCATGAAGGCAGAAAGGGGTTGGACCTGGAGGTCTCTTTCAACTCTATTATTATTATTACCAACAACAACAACAATAATAGCAATGTATTGTCGAAGGCTTTCATGGCCGGAATCACTGGGTTGTTGTGGGTTTTTCCGGGCTATATGGCCTTGTTCTGGAGGCATTTTCTCCTGACGTTTTGCCTGCATCTATGTGGCAAGCATCCTCAGAGGTAGTGAGGATGCTTGCCATAGATGCAGGCAAAACGTCAGGAGAAAATGTCTCCAGAACATGGCCATATAGCCCTGAAAAACCTATAACAACCCAATAATAGCAATAATAATAGAGTTGGAAGAGACTCCATGGGCCATCTAGTTCAACCCCCTCGTGCCTTCATGCAGGAAAAAAACAATCAAAGCCCTCCCAACAGATGGCCACCCAGTCTCTGTTTCAAAGCTTCCAAGGTAGGAGCAGCATTGTGGCTGCACCACTGGGGAGGTCATAGTTAAGTAACCTGATTATGACCCTTTTCTGATTTCCCTTTGCAAAACGTTTTCCCCGTGGACAGACGTCACGCCAAAGCAACCCATGACCGGCTTAATCCCTGGCAGAGCAATCCTTCCAACCCCAAATGAGGCCTCGTTAGCCGGCCGCTCCACTTCTGCCAGGTCAGAGACACAATCAAAGCCCTCCCAAAAGAGAGCCAGCCGGTTTTTAAGCATGGATTTCCAACTCGTGCCTATGTGCACCTATCTGTCTGTGCACCTATCTATCTACCTATCTATTTCTGCATTTGTCTGCCACTGCATCTATCTGTCTGTTGTTGTTGTTGCTGTTGTCCAAGCTCTTGCTTAAAAATCCCCAGAGAAGCCTATTCTACTGTGGAACAGCTCTCACTATCAGGAAGTTCTTCCTAATGTTTAGTATGGAGTCTCTTCTCCTGTAGTTTTAATCTGCGCCCAGAGCAACTGAAAGCAACCTTCCTCTTCCATGTGACCACCTTTCCAATAATGGAAAAATCACCTTCGAGGTGCCTTCTCTCAGGCTTCTCCTATTGACGCAGCCTAGAAAGGTATTTGCCTTTTCAGCTGCAACATCACCCTGTTGGTTCCTGTTTGATTAAGATTCCTTTCATAGAATCCTAGAGTTGGAATGAACCTCTAAAGGCCATCTAGTCTAATTCTCATTCTACCTTCATGCAGGAAAAGCACAATTAAAGCACCCCAGACAGATGGCCATCCAGCCTCAACAACAACAACAATATGGCTTGTGTTCGACTAAGACTCCTTTCACAGAATCCTAGAGTTGGAAAGGACCTCTAAAGGCCATCTAGTCCAAATCCCTTCTGCCTTCATGCAGGAGAAGCACAATAAAAGCACCCCAGACAGATGGCCATCCAGCCTCAACAACAACAACAATATGGCTTGTGTTTGACTAAGACTCCTTTCACAGAATCCTAGAGTTGGAAAGGATCTCTAAAGGCCATCTAGTCCAACTCCCTTCTGCCTTCATGCAGGAGAAGCACAATAAAAGCACCCCAGACAAATGACGATCCAGCGTCAACAATAACAATAATATGGCTCATGTTCGACTAAGACTTCTTTCATAGAATCCTAGAGTTGGAAGGGACCTCTAAAGGCCATCTAATCCAACTCCCTTCTGCCTTCATGCAGGAGAAGCACAATTAAAACACTCCAGACAGATGGCCATCCAGCCTCAACCACAATAATATGGCTCGTGTTTGATTAAGACCCCTTTCATAGAATCCTAGAGTTGGAAGGGACCTCTAAAGGCCATCTAGTCCAACTCCCTTCTGCCTTCATGCAGGAAAAGTACAATTAAAGTACCCCAGACAGATGGCCATCCAGCCTCAATAATAACAACAATAATAATAGAGTTGGAAGAGGCCCCATGGATTATCTAGTGCAACCCCTGACATTCCTACCGGCTGTTAGGAATTATGGGAGTTGATGTCCCATACATGTGGTGCCAGACAAACAAGGACATCCCCTTGTTTGTCTTGGCCCCAAAGGGGACCCCTTTGTTACCTAGCAGGACAGCAGAGATTGTGAGCAGGACGAAGGCGTTGCGGTGGAGGCAGGCCCGGAGGCCATCCCGTGTGAAAAGGCCCATGCGCATTCGCTTCCGGGCATGGGCGGCCCGCTTGCCCAGGGCATGGCGCAGTCGCTGGGCCCGTCCTCCAGAGCCCAACCGCTTGGAGGAGCCCTCGTTCAGGAAGAGGCTGTTGGCATGGCTCTGGCGGTCGCCCATCGTTGGGCTCAACATCCTTCGGCCGGCCAGAGAAGCTGCGGAAAGGAAGAAAGAGAAAGAGACGTCACCAGCAGTGCCAACTCAATGGGATTGAGTGCTGCAAAGCCGGGACTTAGCATGCCCCGCGTGACCCAGAAACACAAGGAGGGTGTTGTGTTGGGACGGTAGAGGCCAAAAGGCCTTTCCTGGCAGTTCTGCCCAGTAAGCGGCCCTTTTTCGGACAACGCCAAGTATGTGGTCCCTCCTCAAGACCAATGTGGGCACTTTCTTCTCATGTGCATCTCTCTTGTGCCAAACGCTATGGATTTGAATTTTTGTTGTCTTTTTGCATTGTGAGATCATGTGAATAGATAAGATAGGATAGATTAGATAGATAGATAGATAGATAGATAGATAGATAGATAGATAGATAGAATAAATTAGATCAATAGATTACATAGATAGATAATATATGATAGATTAGATAGGATAGATTATAGATAGGATAGGATACATAGATTAGATAGACAGGATAAATTAGAAACAGATAGAAAGTTTGGATAGATAGATAGATAGATAGATTAGGATAGATTAGATTAGATTAGATTAGATTAGAGATAGATAGATAGATAGATAGATAGATAGATAGATATGATGAATCAGGCATTCTCAAACTGCGACCCTCCAGCTGTTTGGGTCTCCAACTTTCAGAAGCCCTAATGAGCTTGTTCAATTTTCAGGAATTCTGGGAGTTGAAGGCCCAAACAGCTGGAGGGCTGCAGTTTGAGGATGCCTGTGATAGATTATAGATGGACAGATAGATAGATAAGAGATAGATAGGTAGATAGGATAGATTAGATAGATTAATAGGTTAGATTAGACAGATCGATAGAGTAGATTAGATAAATAGGCTAGATTAGATGGATAGGACAGATTTTAGATAGCTAGATAGCTAGATAGATAGCTAGATAGATAGCTAGCTAGATAGATAGATAGATAGATAGATAGATAGATAGAATAGAATAGGATAGATTAAATTAGATTAGAAACAGAAAGATAGCATAGATTAGATAGGATAGATTATATAGATAGGATAGCATAGATTAGATAGGATAGAGGATAGATAGATAGATAGAATAGATAGATAGATAGAATAGATAGATAGATAGATAGGATAGATAGATAGATAGGATAGATTAGATAGATAGGATAGCATAGATTAGATAGGATAGAGAATAGATAGATAGAATAGATAGATAGGATAGATAGATAGATAGATAGATAGATAGATAGATAGATAGGATAGATTATATAGATAGGATAGCATAGATTAGATAGGATAGAGGATAGAATAGATAGAATAGATAGATAGATAGATAGATAGATAGATAGATAGATAGGATAGATTAGATAGATAGGATAGCATAGATTAGATAGGATAGAGGACAGATAGACAGACAGACAGATAGATAGGATAGGTTAGATAGACAGGATAACATAGATGGATAGGATAGAGGATAGATAGATAGATAGATAGATAGATAGATAGATAGATAGATAGATAGATAGATAGACAGACAAACAGACAGACAGACAGACAGACAGATAGATAGGATAGATTAGATAGATATGATAGCATAGATAGGATAGAGGATAGATAGATAGATAGATAGATAGATAGATAGATAGATAGGATAGATTAGATTAGATAGATAGGATAGCATAGATTAGATAGGATGAGGATAGATAGACAGACAGACAGGATAGGATAGGATATGTTAGATAGATAGGATAGCATAGATTAGATAGGCTAGAGGATAGATAGATAGATTAGATAGATTGGATAGCATAGATTAGATAGGATAGAGGATAGATAGATAGAATAGATAGATTGATAGATAGATAGGATAGGATAAGATTAGATAGATTGATAGGTTAGATTAGATAGCATAGATTATAGATAGATAAGATTATAGATACACAGATCAGCTAGCTAGGATAGATAGATAGATAGATAGATAGATAGATAGATAGATAGATAGATAGATAGATAGATAGACAGGTTAGATACAGACAGATTAGATAGATAGACAGAAAGATGACATAGATGACATTGATTGATCGATCCATAGATAAACAGATAGAATAGATAGATAGAACAGATTAGATAGGATAGAAATGAAAGAAAGATAGGCTAGATTAGATAGGAGAGAGGGGGATAGGATAGATAAATAGATAGATTTGTTTATTGATTAGTCCACTGACCAAATCAACAATAAAAGACAAACCAAAAACAAAAGTACACACAAATAGACACAAATCACTATCCTCAAACTCCATTAATAGTTAACCAAAATAAATTAAAACTCAATAATACTGGATTAATTAATACATTTGGTAAAATGAGATTAAATTACAAGATGAAAGCAGGGAGAGGAGAGTGACGGGTTTAAAAGAATCGGTCAGGGATAATAATAAATAACAACCATAATCAGAATAGGGGTAAATTATTGCAAACAGTGGGCTCCTTGAGACCTGACACTGGCGCTGCATCTATACGGTAAAATTAATGCAGTTTGATGCCACTTCAATGGCTATGGCTCAATGCGATATATTCACAAGATCTTTCCGACCAAAAAGTAATGGGAGTCCATAGCATTGAGCAGTCGAAAAGTGGGACCAAACTGCATTAACTCTACAGTGCAGATGTCCTCCTGGCTTTTGATTGTACTTTGTGGGATACGTGTGGGTCCATTAATAACCTATCTAAAAATAAGCCTGCACAGCTAAGCATTGCATAGGAATACTATATGGGATTGAGGAAGGGAAACTTGTCAAGAATCACAGTATCCCCTTTTCGTCCCACAAAGGTAATAACAATAAATAATAATAATAATAATATAATTATTATTAATAATAAATATAATAATAAATATTATATTATTACACTTTAGTATTATTATTTGATACATAAGAAGCCGCCGGTGGCGCAGTGGGTTAAACCCCTGTGTTGGCAGGACTGAAGACCGACAGGTCGCAGGTTCGAATCCAGAGAGAGCGTGGATGAGCTCCCTCTGTCAGCTCCAGCTCCTCATGCGGGGACATGAGAAAAGCCTCCCACAAGGATGATAAAAACACCAAAACATCCAGGCGTCCCCTGGGCAACGTCCTTGCAGACGGCCAATTCTCTCACACCAGAAGCAACTTGCAGTTTCTCAAGTCGCTCCTGACACGACAAAAAAAATAAATTGATACATAACAAGATTGGTACACAGCAAACAAGATCACTATGCTGGCTTTTGTACTGTGATCTTGTTTGCTGTATACGAATCTTGTTATGTATCTAATAATAATAATAATAATAATAATAATAATAATAATAATAATAATAATATAATTAAGAATAAATATAATAAATATATTATAACATATTGTTATTCTTATTATTTGATACATAACAAGATTAGAACGCAGCAAACAAGATCACTATGTGGGCTTTTGTACTGTGATCTTGTTTGCTGTATACTAATCTTGTTCTGTATCTAATAATAATAATAATAATAATAATATAATTAAGAATAAATATAATAAATATATTATAACGTATTGTTATTCTTATTATTTGATACATAACAAGATCAAAACACAGCAAACAAGATCACTGTGCTGGCTTTTGTACTGCGATCCTGTTTGCTGTATACTAATCTTGTTCTGTATCTAATAATAATAATAATAATTATTATTATTATTATTATTATTATAGCAGCCCAATATTACACATATCTAATGCTATGGATTCGATGCCCACAAAGGGAAGAATCAATTATTATTATTGTTGTTATTATTATTATTATAGTTATTATTATTACTAAAGAATAATAATAATACATATTAAAGTGTATTAAATATTTGAATAGGATCCGACTGATAATCTTTCTACTCCCTTGCCTCCAAAGGAAACGATCAAAAGGGTCCGTTCCGCAAATAAGAAAACTGAGACCTAAGGAAAGAGACGAAGGCATTTGGGGATACAAATGCCAACTCTCCACGCAAGCCGAGAAGTATTTATGAAAGCAGCTGCCGGGAGGGAAACTCGCCTGCTCGGCCAATGGGACGGGAAAAGCCTCCCCCCCCAAAAGTCTATGGAGAGAGACCCTTGACCCACCTGGCACCGTTCTCTGCCTCTCTGCCCTCCTTCCTTGGGGACCGTCCTCAATTCTTCTGGCAAAAAAGAAAAGAAAGAAGGGATTAAAGGTATGTTTGGAGGGGAGGAGACTCCGGCGGGTACCTGTGCCCAGATGCCAAAGCCGGGATTAACCCCCTCCTGGCCCACCTCCCAAAGCCAGCAGGAAAAACCGCCACCTCCCTCCCTTAGGAATAGGAAGGGGAGCTTGAGTTGGAAGGGACACCTAGAGGTCATCTAGTCCAGCGGAGGAACCCACCCCTGGGAGCTGGACATCTAACAATCACACGATGGTAACAAGCCACTCATAGCACTTTTCACTCTTATGGAGTATTGTATGTTATCGCATAATATAACAAATAATAATATTCTATTCTATATCTATATATATATATGCTCTGTGCATAATGAGTAACTTAAAAACAAAAGAACCATTGAACGAAATCACACCAAATTTGGCAACAAAACGTCTCACTACACAAGGAGTGACCATCACTCAAAAAGTTATGAATTTGTCATTTGGGAGTTGTAGTTGCTGGGATTCATAGTTCACCTATAATCAAAGAGCATTCTGAACTCCGCCAACGATGGGATTGAACCAAACTTGGCACACAGGCCTCCCATGACCAACAGAAAATACTACCAGTGTTTGGGCATTGACCTTGAGTTTGGGAGTTGTAGTTCACTTACATCCAGAGAGCACTGTGGACTCAAACAATGATGGATCTGGATCAAATTTGGCATGAATATGCTATATGACCAAATATGAACACAGATGGAATTTGGGAGTTGTAGTTACTGGGATTTATAGTTCACCTACAATCAAAGACTATTCTGAATGAACCCCACGAATGACAGAACTGGGGCAAACTTCCCACACAGAACCCCCATGACCAACAGAAAATACTTAAGGCCATCCAGTCCAACTCCCTTCACCAGGGCAAGAAAACGTAATCAAAGCCCTCCTGACAGAGAGCCATCCAGCCATAGATCTAGATAGATATACATGATTCACACACACACAGATAAAGTATTATGGATTTGAAAGGGACTCCTAAAGATGGACAATGATATGTTGCATGTTCCAGAGTAGGCAAACCAGACAATCTCTACGTCAACACTGAAGAAACATCAAGAAATACTGTTTACCCACAAGCATAAAGACATTACATATATTAGAAACCAGCACTTTCTAATTACTTTATTTTCCAGATCACCAGACTGGGCCACAGCAACGCGTGGCAAGGGACTGCCAACAATGGAATTGAACCAAACTTGGCACACAGGACTCCCCTGACTAACAGAAAACACTGGAAGGGTTTGGTGGGCATTGACCTTGGGTTTTGGAGTTGTAGTTCACCTACATCTAGAGAGCACTGTGGACTCAAACAATGATGGATCGGGACCAAACTTGGCACGAATATTCAATATGTCCAAATATAAACACAGATGGAGTTTGGGGGAAATAGACCTTGACATTTGGGAGTTGTGGTTACTGGGATTTATAGTTCACCTACAATCAAGGAGCATTCTGGACCCCACCGACAGAATTGGGGCAAACTTCCCACACTGACACCCCCAGGCGTCCCAAACCCTAGGTTGAGAAATGCTGCTTTAAGGCCATCCAGTCCAACTCCCTTCACCAGGGCAAGAAACCATAATCAAAGCCCTCCTGACAAAGGGCCATCCAGCCATTCACACACACACACACATATGTATATGACAGATGCAGTATCCAAGATATGAAAGGGACTCCTAAAGAAGGACAATGATATGTTGCATGTTCCAGAGGAGGCAAACCAGACAACCTCCACATCAACACTGACAAAGAAACAACAAGAAACACTGTTTACCCACAAACAGAAAGACATTACATATATTAGGAGCAAACACTTTCTCATTACTTTATTTTTCAGATCACCAGACTGGGCCACAGCAACGCGTGGCAGGGGACAACTAGTCCATAATAAAAGTGGAAATGTGTATGTATGTGTGTGGCTGAGGTGCCCACTTCCACAGACAGGCTCCCGCTTCCACAAACAGCTTTAACCCATAGTGCTGAGAAGCCACCAAAAGCTCTCCCTCCAATGATATTTCAGGTTATAGCGAGCACCATGAACATGTTGCCCAACCCCTGCCAATGTCCTCCCCAAACACCATACTGCCCACCACCCAAGGAATGCTTTTATTTGGGGACGATTTCATCCTAGATTTGACGTGTTTCCTCCACCACAGACATCCCAGTGTTTCTGACTCTCTCCATTGGTGTGGAATTTGCATAATCATACTCACTGCCTCTCCCTTAACCCTTTGCTCTCTTTCAATTCTGTCTGCACAACAAACAGAGCAGAACTGATCAGCAACTAAGCATACTGGAGGGGGTTGGGGGATTGTCTCCACATGATGGAAGTTGTAGTTTGCCCTGCATGAAGCCAGAGCACTGTGACCCCCACCGACAATGGACCTGGACCACGTTTGGCACATTGACAATGGACCTAGACCACATTTGGCACACAGAACTCCCATGACCAAAGCAAAATACTGGAGAAGTTTGGGGGGATTTATAGTTGTTGAAGGTACTGGAATTTAAAGTTCACCTGCAATCAAAGAGCACTCTGGACCCCACCGATGATAGAATTGGACCTAACTTGGCACACAGAGCCCCCATGACCAACTGAAGGCACTGGAGAGATTTGACAGAACTAACCGACCATGGTGAGAGTTGTAGTTCATCCTGCAGCCGGATATCACACTGAACCCCATCCATGATGCATCTAGAGCAAACTTGCCCAACATGACGAACTTTAAGTACTGATGGAGATTCTCGGGGTTAACCTGGGATGATGTGAGTTGTAGTTCACACACAACCATATGCCTTTCGTACAATTAAAAAATTGAATTTTTCAAATAATCCAGGCAACGCTGGGGACCCAAGTTAGTATGTAATACAACACAATGTTAACAAGTCACTCATAGCACTTTTCACTCCAATGGTGTACTGTATTTCATCGCATAATATAATATAACAAATAATACTTAGAAAATATAACTATATAATCTATATAAATAAAATTGTAAGGTTCGTTTGTGGGATTAACATAACTCAAAAACCACTGAACAAACTGACCAATTTTGGACACAATACACCTATCAGGCCAACGAGTGACCATCACTCATTAAAACACTGAAAAACACAGCAGAAGAGACTTAAAAAGGCAAAAAACAAAAATACATTACAACGCATACGCAAAACCACATATAAACACAAACACACATATATACACACACATATATGCATATATACACACACAAAACACATATACACAGACTGTGCCACAACAATGCGTGGCAGAGGACAGCTAGTGATTAATAATAACATAACAATAACTAATAATATAACAATATAATAATATAACAACATGTTGTAGCACTTTTCACTTAGATGAAGTACTATCGTTGATCACATAATATATCAAATAATCATATAATTAATAATCATATAATTAATATAATTATAACATCATAATAAGAAGTGATATAACATTATAATAGTAATAACAATACAATGTAATATAACAACAACACGATGTAACACAATGTAACAAGCCACCTACAGCATTTTTCACAACGTCTGAGGATGCCTTCCATAGATGCTGGCGAAATGTCAGGAGAGAATGCTTCTGGAACATGGCCAGACAGCCCGAAAAACTCACAGCAATCAATTTTTCACTCTGAAGAAATACTGTATTTCATAACGTATCATATAAAAAACAATAATTATATAATATAACAATATAATAAAAATAATATCATTATATTATAATATAACAAATAACAATTATGCAATATAATATAAAAATAAAATAATAATATTGATGATGATGATAATAATAATATTAATTGAATTGGAAGAGACTGCATGGGCCATCTAGTCCAACCTCCTTCTTTCTGCCATGCAGGGAAAGCATAATCAAATCCCTCCTGACAGATGGCCACCCAGACTTTGTTTAAATGCTTCCAAAGAAGGAGCTTTCACCAGACTCTGAGGCAGAGAGTTCCACTGCTGAATGGCTCTTCTTACAGTCAGGAAGTTCTTCCTAATGTTCAATGGAATCTCCTTTCCTATGAATTTAACCCATGGCTCTATACTGTCCCAGTCTCCAAGGCAGCAGAAAGGAAGTATTCCTCCCTCTTCCTCATTACATCCGTTCACATATACATACATGGCTCCTCTCATGTCTCCTTTTCTCCACCTCCTCTTCTGCAGGCTAAACAGACCCAGCTCTTTGTGAGACTCATTAGAGGGATTATTCAGGATCTACAGACCTTTGATTATTTCAGCCACCCTCCTCTGAACATCTTCCAGCTTAAGAGTAGTAGTAGTAGTAGTTGTTGTTATTATCATTATTAGAAACACAACAAGATTAGTACACAGCAAACAACATCACTATGCTGGCTGTTGTATTGGATCACTATTATTATCATCATTATCTTTCTTACATATCATTTTATTACATATTATTATATTACATATTATTATTATTATTATTATTATTACGTATTATGTGCTTTTCTGAATAGAATAAATATTTTAAAGAGGTAGATTTATTACATATTATTATATTACATATTATTATTATTACGTATTATGTGCTTTTCTGAATAGAATAAATATTAAAAAGGTAGATTTGCGTGAAACCCTAAGGAATGGATTGACAACAAATTGGATAGGATACCGTACTTATTACATATTACTTTATTATATTACATATTTATATTACATATTACTATTGTATTATATTATTATTATACTTATTATTTTAATATATTATTTTATATATTTTATTATTATTTTATTACATGTTATTATTATATTACATATTATTATATATAGTATTATTATATTGCATATGAGGTCCAAGCTTTAAAAGTATTTGTTCCATTATCTACTGTCTCAAAGAGGAGAAATTATTATATTGCACTTTATTATTTAGATATTATTATTAAATTATTATACTACACATTATTACTTATATATTATTATATTATGAAATTATATTAGTATTATTATTATTTATATATTACTACATTACATATTGTTATAATTTATATATTATTATTACATTATTATATTACATATTATTATTCAGATATAATTACATTATTATATTACTTATTATTTATATTCTTATATTATATTATTATATTACATATTATTATTAATAATGATATATTATAGTATTATTATCTCTCTTAAATTGCTTTGCCCAGAATTGGTGATATTCCAGGCAAAGAGGTCTGACCAAAGCAGAATAGAGAACCACCATGACTCCTTCCCTCGATCCAGACATTATTCTGCTTTGGATGCAGCCCAAAATCCCATAAGGCAGTATGTGGCAGTCACGTTAGAGACACTATGTGCAGACCCACTCTCCCCACTGGCTTTTGCCCCCCAAATGCCACACAAAAGCCCTTTGCAGACAGGACAACACTCACCGGGGTTCCCCTGAATCTGTAATGTAAAAGGGCTCTGCGTCGTTGTCAGTGTCCCCGAGGCGCCTGGAAAACAAAGCAGAAGAGAACATGAAACGGTGTCAGCAGAGGAGAAGAAGAAGGAGAAGAAGCGTGGCATCAGTGCGCTTTGAGCGTGGGAGGGGGAGATGGATGTGCCCAATCTGCGCTTTCGGAAGGGAGCCGTTTCCATGGAGGAAGGGAAGAAGAGAGCCCAACACAGAGAGATGCAGATGGGAAAGATTCCCTTCCTTCCTTCCTTCCTTCTTTCCTTGCTTTCATCTTTCCTTCCTTCCATCCTTTCATCTTTTCCTCCTTCTTTCCTTCCTTTCATCTTTCTTCATTCCATCCATCCATCTTTCCTTCCTTCCTTCCTTTTTCCTTCCTTCCATCCACCCTTCCTTCCTTCCTCCTTTCCTTCCTTCCTTCTTTCCTTTCATCTTTCCTTCCTTCCTTCTTTCATCTTTCTTTCCTTCTTCCTTTTCTTTCTTCCATCCTTTTACCTTTCTTTCTTTCCTTCCTTTTCTTTCATCTTCCTTCCTTTATTTTCTTCCTTCCTTTTTCCTTCCATCTTTCTTTCCTTCCTTTTCTTTCACCTTTTCTTCCTTCCTTCCTTCCTTCCTTTTATCTCTTTCCTTCCTTCCATCCTTTTTTCCTTTTTTAATTTTTCTTTCCTTCCTCACTTTCCTTCCTTCCTTTCTTCCTTCCTTATTTCCTTTCATCTTTCTTTCCTTCCTTTCATCTTTCCTTCTTTTCCTTTCTTCCATAGGCACGTGTTATTGTTACTGCCCCCCCCCCCAGGAGTCAAAATATTAAATTTTCCAACTCAGTACTACAGCGGAGAGTTCTGCAGGTAGTGGGAGCTTGGAATTGACTTAGCTGGCTTTGCCAAAGGTCCAGCAGCAGCTACCAGAGCCTAGGATGCTTTTCGAAACAAACTTTCCCTAGTTGAATAGTGATATTGTTACCTAACCCCTATAAACATGAACCTTGACGTGTTCCCCTCTACATCTGCTTCTTTGTATCTCTGTTTGTCTCTTGGGTCTTTTCCCTTTGCTTTCACTCTCCGCAGCCGGCCCTGGTGGCTACATGGCCCTCAGAGCAGGACTCTCCTTCCCATTTTCCTTGTATTAACCTCACCTAGACCCCATTAAACCCCGTGTCATCTCCAGTCTCCCTCGTGGATACCCAGACACCCATTCGCAGGGTTCCCCTCGGTATCCACAGACCCTTGTGTATGTATTTAAGTCGGCTAGAGTCACCTTCGGGTTCAAGAAAGGAGGGGTAAAAATATCATAAATAAATAAATATGTTATATTTTGTACCTTGATATAAAATCCTTTTGGAGAAGTTTGCCCCCGACCAAGTCCTTGTGATGAACTTTCGCCTACATCTCCTGACCTGGGAATTCCATTCAGCTGTTCTTCCTGAGCATCATCTACATATGAAGGACTCAAGCACCCATCACCCTCGGGCCAGTCCATCTATACTGGTCCCATAGACCCCCGACTGTTCAAAGGACAACAGGATCCATTTGCGGGGCCAGCAGAGAGTGTTTGAGGACCGGGACATCTGTAAGGATACCAAGGTGCTTGTTTATAAAGCTATTCCCCAAGGTTACAACAACATCTGTTATAGAACTCCAGTATGCTGATGACAATGTCGTCTGTGCGCATACAGAAGAAGATCTACAAGCCACTCTAAACACCTTCGCAGAAGCATACACGAAGCTTGGCCTGTCACTGAACATCGAGAAAACCAAAGTGCTGTTCCAGCAGTCACCAGCCATCCCCTCCCCAATGCCAGAGATACAGCTTAATGGTGTAACATTAGAAAATGTTGACCATTTCCGCTACCTTGGCAGCCACCTCTCCACCAAAGTCAACATCGACGCCAAAATACAACACTGCCTGAGCTCTGCAAGTGCAGCATTTTCCCGAATGAAGCAGAGAGTGTTTGAGGACCGGGACATCCGTAGGGATACCAAGGTGCTTGTCTATAAAGCTATTGTCCTCCCAACCCTGCTCTATGCCTGTGAGACGTGGACTGTCTACAGACGTCACATGCAACTCCTGGAACGATTCCATCAGTGCTGCCTCCGGAAAATCCTGCAAATCTCCTGGGAAGACAAGCAGACAAACGTCAGTGTGCTGGAAGAAGCAAAGACCACCAGCATTGAAGCGATGGTCCTCCAACATCAACTCTGCTGGGCCAGCCACGTTGTCCAGATGCCTGACCACCGTCTCCCAAAGCAGTTGCTCTACTCCGAACTTAAGAACGGAAAACGGAATGTTGATGGACAGGAAAAGAGATTTAAAGATGGCTCAAAGCCACCTTAAAAACTCTGGCATAGACACTGATAACTGGGAAGACCTGGCTCTTGAGCACTCCAGCTGGAGGTCAGCTGTGACCAGCAGTGCTGCAGAATTCGAGGAGGCACGAGTGGAGGGTGAAAGAGAGAAACGTGCCAGGAGGAAGGCACATCAAGCCAACCCCGACCGGGACCGCCTTCCACCTGGAAACCAATGCCCTCACTGCGGAAGAAGATGCAGAGCAAGAATAGGGCTCCACAGCCACATGCGGACCCACAAGGAAACCCATAATGGAAGACCATCTTACTCGTCCAACGAGGGATCGCGTAAGTAAGTAATTCCCCTCCCAACCCTGCTATATGCCTGTGAGACGTGGACTGTCTACAGATGTCACATGCAACTCCTGGAATTATTCCATCAGTGCTGCCTCCGGAAAATCCTGCAAATTTCTTGGGAAGACAGGCAGACAAACGTCATTGTGCTGGAAGAAGCAAACACCACCAGCATTGAAGCTATGGTCCTCTGCCATCAGCTCCGCTAGATTGGCCACGTTGTTCGGATGCCCGACCACCGTCTCCCAAAGCAGTTGCTCTACTCCGAACTCAAGAATAAAAAACAGAACATTGGTGGACAGGAAAAGAGATGGAAAGATGGGCTCAAAGCCAACCTTAAAAACTCTGGCATAGACACTGAGAACTGGGAAGCCCTGGCCCTTGAGCGCTCCAGCTGGAGGTCAGCTGTGACCAGCAGTGCTGCAGAATTTGAAGAGGCACTAATGGAGAGTGAAAGAGAGAAACGTGCCAAGAGGAAGGCGCATCAAACCAACCCCAACTGAGACCCCTTCCACCTGGAAACCAATGCCCTCACTGCGGGAGAAGATGCAGATCAAGAATAGGGCTCCAGTACACTGATCCTGGAAGACGATCCTACTCGGCCAACAAGGGATCGCCTAAGTAAGTAAGTAAGTAAGTAAGTAAGTAAGGCTCAGTCACCTGGACATTACAATACCATTCATCACCTAGCATGACTACCAGTACACCAGGAGGTCATGTCCCGTTGTCTGACATTTCCCCTTTCCCAGGAACAGACTACATCATCCTGTCAACATGGACACTATTTCTGCTTTTAGACTCAATGGAGAGGCGCTGGACCCCTTCGCTGGAAACTCGTATCACTATTATCCTTACAATAAAATGCATGGGACTTGATAGCCCTTCTTTGTTCCGTCTCTCATTGGGACAAAGGTGATTCACTCAGAACTCTTTACACTCCTTTTGTCTCTAAGCTTTCCTGTCTTCTCATGATGTGGACAAAGTGCTTCATCTTGGCCTCTATTCTCCTTCCCTCCAATGAGCAGCCGGGCTTTATTTCCTGGAGGATGGACTGGTTGGATCTTCTCGCAGTCCAAGGCACTCTCCGAACTTTCCTCCAACACCACAGCTCAAAAGCATCGATCTTCCTTCACTCAGCCTTCCCTAAGGTCCAGCTCTCACATCCAAAGGATTACACTGTATAAAATATGTTTTGCAATGTTATGGTGTCTCAGCTTCCTTTGGCGGATTACCGTGAGCTGACATCACTTTCAGATGATTGAATAAAACACCTTGGTGGCTTCTTCTTCAACTTGGTGAGATTTCTTCATTGGGGAACATTGGGCTTCTTTGTCTTGCCAGGCACACAGAGCTACACGGTGGATACCAGTAAGCGCTTATCAGGACTTGGTATCTATGCTTCGAGTTTCGCTATCCGCAGCACGGATCTCACTCTCCGCAGCCACTTTAAATTGCTCTATTTTATTATAAGTTGCAGAGACAAGGGATCATAGAATCATAGAGTTGGATGAGACCTCTTGGGTCATCCAGTCCAACCCGCTGCCAAGAAGCAGGAACATTGCATTCAAAGCACCGCTGACAGATGGCCATCCAGCCTCTGTTTAAAAGCTTCCAAAGAGGGAGCCTCCACTACACTCCAGGGCAGAGGGTTCCACTGCTGAACGGCTCTCACAGTCAGGAAGTTCTTCCTAATGGAATCTCCTTTCTTGTAGTTTGAAGCCAGTGGCTCAACCCATTACACAAAGTAAGCATTTGCAGTATAGTTGATTTTGCCCAGGGGCGCTCTTGAGGCGCTCTTGGGGGGGAAATAGACCTTGACATATGCGAGTTGTAGTTACTGGGATGTATAGTTCACCTACAATCAAAGAGCATTCTGAACTCCACCAATGATGGAATTGAACCAAATATGGCACACAGAACTCCCACGACGAACAGAAAATATATATCAGAGATTGGTTGGGGGGGGGCACCAAAATACTGTTTGCTTACCGTTGAAAATTACCTAGGGCCACCTCTGTCCGCGTCCTAGTCTCCAGGGCTGCAGAGAACAAGCTTGCTCCCTCCTCCCTATGATTTTCTCACCTATTTATACATGGCTATCATGTCTCCTCTCAGCCTTCTCTTCTTCAGACTAAACATGCCCAGCTCTTTAAGCCGCTCCTCATAGGGCTTGTTCTCCAGTCCCTTGATCATTTTAATCGCCCTCTTCTGAACACATTCCAGCTTGTCAATATCTCTATTTACCGTAATTGTGGTGCCCAGAATTGGACACAATATTCCAGGGAAGGAAGGATTAGGAAGGAACGAAGGAAGACGCAATCTTGCAATGCAATGCAATGCATTGCAGTGCAGAATATGCCATAGACACGTGTTATGAGTTGCAGAGACAAGGCAAGGAAGGAAGCAAGGAAGGGATCCCCTAAAGAAGCAATCTCGCATTGCATTTTATTGCATTGTTCAATTCAATGCAATGCAATACAAGCCATTGGAAGAACCCCCCCCCCCCCCTTTCTCTTTTTCTTATCTGGGCCACGTGGAGAGGCTTTTTGTCCACGTGGGAAAAGGGAGGAGAGAAAAGGGAAGAGAAACCCACAAGTACAACATAAAATCCATTCACTTACC